ATGTGGTCATTTAAAGAGTACTGCTTTTGAGCTGTTCATCGTATTATCACAGGCAGTCAGTCATGTAATAGACTGCTGTTAACCTGCTGAGAAAGAAGACTATAATACAAAATAAATACAAACGTAACAAATAAATAAATAAAAAAGGACTCGCAATGTTAAACAGCAAAGAAAAGGTTGGGCAAACAAAGAGTCTGATTGGACAGCAGCCTGACCAAGCCTGTATAAGCAGTTGATGCCAAAGTTAGGAACACTTAAAGTAAAACGGGCACACAGCAAACGTTTTACAGGGAGAGAGAAGTGCTGTAAAAAGTCCCCACTACGGCCTCTCTCAGTAGAAATCTGTCTCCATACCAACTCCTTTAAAGGACAGCTGATTCTTTGTACTTTGATTCATTTGATGAATGCTTATTGTTTTTTCATTTCTTACTCAATTGAGCAGACTGAGCTACATTTCTGAAACGCAGAATGGAAACAACAGTGAGTGATTGTAGCATCTTTTGTGGTGCCCAAGCTCCACTGTTACACTTAATAGCTCATAATAAATGCATATCTGTTTTATATTGATATGTTTATCCATCTATTATTTATATGTTATGGTTGAGAAAACTACACAGTGTGAAACAACATAGTTATTCTCCAATCAATATAAGCTCAAAATGCCTCAAGCTACCCATTGACTTCTTGCACTTGATACCTTTTTACGTCTGACAAAAAAGAAACAGCCATATGATCACATGTTATAAGAATGTTATCTGTTTATTTACTGCTAAACAGTTCAACTGTAGCATGGCTTTGTGCTCACATTTGTAATTAAATGATATGCAAGTATGAATAGGCCTATTGAGTTATAATGTGTTTAACATTTTAAGGAACGCAGAGTGAGAACGTGTTTTCTCAGTTGGGATCGATAACAGCTATTATGGTTGATTTTACAAAGAGCATTGTAAAAAATTCAGAATCATTTACTTGCAGTGAGTATTTTAGAAGCACATTCTGTATCCTGCATAAGTAAAAAGCAAATCATTGTAATATTAAGACTTGGCTGTACTGTAGGTGAAAACTGTCTAATACTTATCATAAAAAGGCCAGAGAAGATTCACCAAAAGCAGTTACATGCTTAATTCTGATTGTCAAGTTTTATTCCAAAAGCGCCTTCCTATTCATCTGCTGTTAACAATAGTCCCACATGGGTGAGTTACTCCAAACAACAACACCAACAAACAGCCCGATAAACACAACAAGTTGTAGGAAAACCAATGAAAACAAAAACAATTTCAGTTTGTAAAGTGCCTGATCATGGAGGTTTCAGTCCTGAGACTGCAAAACAGAAAGGGAAAGCTAAGATATCAGCATGCACATGAAAGCAGGCCTGGGAGCAGTGTAGCTCCAGCACTGTGGTGACAGATGGAGAGCACCTGCATATAGGGGTCTGACCTCATCAGAATGTAACTTTACTCAGACAGAAAGAGTCACACTGGTCCTATGTTATGCTTGTGCATATCTCCATATATACACTATACACAGTCTTTAATCACAGTTTGGTAAAAACACAAAAGCAAAATATAGCAATTAAAAAGAAGGTTACAAAAGGAAAGATCCCACCCACATTATTACAGAGTGTAGGCGAATAAGGAAACAGAAGATTTATTGTATTGAATATATCAATTTCAAACAGCAGATAAATGATTTAAGCTATACAGGCAGTGACAATTATGATCATTAGTTGAAATACAGAGGACATTTTTCTCAAACAATCCTGAATAATCTGGTTGGGGGGGATACGTCTGAATCTCAAAGATTTCATTTTGGAGAATGTAATCCTATTAAAACCTAATAACTTGTATTTATTTAAGTTTGTATCAGCAACTTCCTGATTAACCCTCAGTCATGTTAACACAGTGAGTCACATCAGAGAGCTGCCAAGTAAAATGTCTTCTATTTGGCCTGTGACCAGCTATAATGAATAAGTGGGGGTCAAGTAGTACTTCAGAGGCAGTAACTAGGGTGGGATTTTCTTTTTATTCCATGCCTACATAAAAGACTGATCTTTGCATCACTAACCTTTCAATCAGAAGCCTGACTGTTTCGCCTTAATGATCCCACAGCTGTGTTTGATATAATTACCCTTCATTTCCACCTGTTTCTCTCAGACCAGAAGTGAGGCCAGTATGGAAACAGGGGACATGGAGAAGTTATGACAAACTATCCATCTTGGATCCAAGTCGGAATTATAAGCATTCTCTCATTCCAGCATCTACTGTGTACGGATGTGCTGCTTTGTTTGTGTAGTAGTGTAAACTAATAGTAGCTTGGTGGGAGGAGGTTTGTGGTTAAAGGCCATAGTCGATAGTTTACTTTCAGTGATTTTGCGTATAAAAATATGAAACTCCAGCTCTCCAACATTTTGGACACAGGGCGTCAAACTGCTATATTTAAAGTTCTTCAACTAATGTTAGATATGATACAAAACAATATTGCCATCTCCCTTTAGTTCTCTAAATTACACTGTATCAATACATTATGTCACAATCTCAAAGAAATCCTCCTGTGTGTAGACATTTGCACATTCACACAAACATGAGTATATATTTATTTCTTGCTCGTACTTGAACTGAGCATTTGTATTACTCAGTGAATCACTCAAAGAAAAGACTGTTTTGTAAGAAGTGCCTTTCATATTACTGAGGTTTGATGTTAATGTAATTCGATACTGCAATTTGTTTTGATATATAAGTCATGAGGTTAACTTCAGTAAAAGGCTACAACTGTTTTGTGTAGGGTAATAGAATGTTCAAATATTTTCTACAACAAACATTAAACTGTAAATCAGTTACAATCAGCCGTATAAGGCAACAACATCATTTACACTTCTTTTAAATGTTCATACATTTATAGAACATCATATGCTGGATGTCAAAAACCGTGAATACCGACTAAAATATCCTTATTCCATTCAATGATATACTGACACAGATTTGGGGTAACCTTTATATATATAATATTAGATTAATATAAGTATAGATGACACGTGATTAATACTGTATATATTGCCCTAAAGAATGATCAGTTTGATTAACTGTTGACATTAATATTGTGTCCTCTAAAGAGACACTCAATGTAAATATCAGTGCCTTAGTAGACTGACTCAGAAAATATGAATGGAAAGAACATAAAAAAAGTCAAACAAAACAAGAAGAAATAGAAAGACATGCAGGCTAAAGTCTGTAAGAGTTATTCTAAATAAATGACACTCTTGAGCTGTGAAAATAGTTGATCTGACTATCAAAAGGGGTACAGCAAGGACAAGTGAGTGCTGCTGCTGTATATCACACTGCATATATTAGAAAGTGCAAGTCAGGCTGTGTTGTCCTGGTATGTTCCCGAGTCTGACCTTGTAAAGTTACAAACTATTTTCATATTATGCAAAAATAAGATCAGGGTGAACACAATACTAAATGCTTAAAACATACAACTTACAGTTGGATTGGTAATATTGAACCCTAACCCAAATTAACAATACCCAACCATGGCATGCATGATTTAAGAAGCAACATTTGAAGTGGTGAACACACTAATGCAGGGGCCAAGCAGTCTATGAGTGGTGTAATGAGTAGTAAAAGGTATGCCGAAGGTAAAACAATAATTTAAATATATGTTTGGCGTTTTGTGTTGGACAGTGCTTTACATCACCATTATCCAAAAACCAAATGAAGGAAAACATTTTAAAAACATGCAAAATCTAAGTTGCCAGCCCTGCAGCTGTTCTGGATGCTCATGGTGTCCTAACACCTTACTAATGTCTAAGTTTGGCTCATTTATGGTACAAAGTACTTTTATCTATTTTGTTTTCCACTGTGTATTTTTAAGTCAGTAGAGGCAGGATTCTGAGATGTTTGCTGTTTGAACCTGATTTGACATCATCTTCAACAGCATGGTGTAAGCCATACTATAGGTTTTGCATGATGCATTGAACGGCATAGTTACTTAGGTTATTGGTTGTATGGCATAGTGTATAGCAAAGTGTATGGTCAATTGTATGGCGTAGTTTATGTAGTAGTGTATAGCATAGTGAATGTTGTGTACATCGAAGTGAACAGGGAGTACAGAACACATACTACTTCAGTGTGATATGTCTTCACGCTTGCTGTCTTAACTGGAGAAAACAAATTCCTTTCGAGCAAACAGAATGTGGATGAGTTATGCATATATGTATATGCCAATTCATTGGATGTAATGTGCATCTCCAGTAGCTTGGACATTTAAAAATGTAGGGTTTGCAGGATGTGTCAAACAAGTGATGATTCTTTCAGACAAATGAGTTGTCTGCTGTGTTTTAACTTCACTCAAGTATTGGCTCAGCTCACTAAGAACCTGAAAGAACTAAAAAGGAACCAGGTACCAGATACTAGAACTGAGTCGTAAAATGCTGGAAAAATGTGCCTTAAGACACTTTTGCTTTGTAATTTTGCTTTTACACTTGTCACCAATCTGTCAGTTATCATTATAGACAAACATAGCAGTGGTGCTACATACTGTAAAATGCTAGGATATATTGTTGGAAGACAGCATGTGCTCAGTTTGCAATCCAAACCAAATGAATAGTCAGTACACAGTAAATGACTCCTACTCTGAATAAACTATTGTAAAATAGCTCAAATTGCTTTTTTACACTACAAACATACCTGAATAACCCTAATCTGGTGTAAGGCTTTGCTGGAAAACTCTTGTTGAAAACAAATCGAGAGCAGTACACCAAACAACAGCCTTTCAGTGACACAGATGTAATCTCTGGCTGCAGCACTACATTTAAAGCTACATCTGTTCAACTCCAGCTCACACAACAGCCAAATATGCAGACTGGAGCCAAAACACTTGGCCGGCCGAGTTAGAGAGGCACACAAGAACCAACACATATTTACACAGTGTTACAGATTTTCAACACGATTGTCAGGCAAAAAACTCACCACACACCACGCTTAACAGAGTGTTTTACTCACCTCCAGAGCCTCCAAGGTGACGAATCCTGTGATGGAGAAGCCATCGATGATGTCCTCTTGAGCAGAAGTAGAGTCCTTTCGCTTCCTCCGTGGGGGTCGAGGGCGGGATGAGGAGGGCTTCCTGTTGCCCTCCCTCTCTGAGTCAGAGGAAAAGCGAAAGACCGAGCCCTTAACATGGTTGTTCCTTATCCCATTTGATCTCCTGTCTTGATCCCTCACCGACCTTGACTTCCTCTTCTTGCGGAGGCCACTAGATCGAGGGCCATCCATGCCTTTCATGGGAAACATCCAGATAAACCCACTTCTTACAGAGAAACAAACTCTTCAAGTGCCAAACACTGGCACAGCTTGACCTACACTTGTGTGGAAACCCCAGAAGAGAAACTCCACAATATCCAAGCAAATGTTATTGATGTATTATATCCAAGGTAACCATGTAATATCCAACAGATGAAACCTTTAACAGGTAACACAAAACTGCATCGAGTCACTGAACCAAACTAGGTTCTGAGCAAAAATCCCCAAAGGCAGTCCATCAAATCCTAAGACAGAGGTGTAAAATGATCTATTAAACACGTTATCACCAAACTGTCAATTCCACCAGAGGAAGAGCTTCTCAAGTTAAAGCAAATATCTGCTCAGTGAACATGTCCCGCCACGGTGAGTTGAGCAGGTGATGCCACATCCTTCTTCTTCAGGAGCCTACTCCCTTACCCAAGGTCAGTAAACTCTACCTCCTGCAAGACAAAGACAGAGAGAGAGAGAGCAAGCATTTGCCACATGTTCACTCTGCAATTTCAACTGTTCATTTAGTCAACGAGAGGTTTTTTACTTTGCCACTTGGTGTTTTAAACCTCACAACATGAACAAATGCAAATTGAGAACTGTCAATGTATTCTATCCTCCCACTTTTGTTAATGACATAATTTAGAAAACATTAATTTTGAACACATTCAATATTATTGTTAAAGCATATGAACGTAGGACTTAAGCTTTTTACATATAGTAAAACATATCATCTCAAGTTCAAGAGAAGTGATTGTAATGCTTTTCTTGAATAAAACTTGTTCTAACATGTATCAATCTTTAACAAGTCTGTCGGAATAAACAAAATGTCACATTGGGCACAATATTTCACTCACATATTCCACCAATAAAACAGAACAATATTTCTGTTTTGAATAAATGAAAGCAGATCTTATAGAACAGGGTGATGTCCTCTAGCCTTTACACACTAACATTAAATCAAGACCCTTTGATAATGCCATATTGCACTTCACTATAGATCTTAAGGTGCATGCCTTTACTGTCTGACACTGAAGGCATCTGGCTGCTTAACAATATTAGATGCAACATTCAACAGCTTGCAGTCCTATTCTGGATCGTTCTCAAGGCATAGCCTAAAGCCTAGGCCTAAAGCCACTGAAAGTCAATCTGGCATTGTAGTCTAAATCACATATGGCTTCTCTATGTGTCCAGAATATCAATTCTCATCCATTACATCATAGAAATTGTATTCCATGTGGAAGAAAACTGAAACAACAGAATGCAGGCTTTTTACATATCCTTTCTCTGAATAACCATGCCTCCAAATGCTGGTTGACATATCAAACCGAGGATTCACACCTTCCTGCATCAACACACAAACCAAAAGCAATTTACCACAGTCAACCACCATATTCAACTTTACATTGTCTCCTTGGACACAGGTTGTCAAGCAATGTAGCTCATCTGGCTTCTGCAGCATACAATACATTAACAGTAACACATGTTTTAAACATGCACAATTATAAACATGTACAAAAAATTAAAAAGGCACATCCAACAAGCCAGCGTGCAACCATTTAATTATGGAGCAACAATTTGAAAAGAGATTTCTTCCATTCAGATGTTCTTCCTTCTAACAATCCAGAAAAGGTAATTCCATCTCTATGAAGACGGTCCTAAACCTTTTTCCCCGAGTACCAATGCCTTTAACCTGATGCCCCGTGCCAGCACTCATCTAATGACACACATACACACACTGCACAAATAGCTCCCAAAATATCGCTCATGGGGGGAATAAACTGTATTCCAGCACTCGCCCTGGCTTTTTCTAGCTCAGTAAAAGACTCTTTCCCTTGTCTTCGCTCAAAGTCCCTTTTTGTCTGCCTATGCTGCCTGTCAGTAGAGATCTCAGACTCTGTAATCCAGTCCAGCCTACAGCAGCAGAAGCGGACTGGCACTGCCTCCCGCTCCGGCTCTCAAGCTTCATTTTCCACTGTAAAACACACAACAAAAGCAAGCCTCTCTTTTTTTTTGCTCCAGACACGTCATGCAAAACGAAGAAATGCAAACCCTTGCGAGTGGGGAGAGACCGTCCGGACAAGTTGCAGGCCTTCGGTCACTATTAAAAGACAACGCACAAGAAGGTTTGAAGCTGACAAAATAAATCCCGCAAAGGAAAACCATAGGGTATCTCCTCCTCTCTCCAGATCCGAGCTTCAGGATCCCGGAGAAGGGGGACCGGGGCGCAGTGATACGGTGATGCCGCAGTGCCGCTTTACAGGCTGCATGCTTCCTCCTCGGCGCAAATAGTGCCGTCTCTGGACATTTGGTAGACTCAGAGTTAAAATAAAGAGACAGAATAACCAGGAAAATTGCGGAACACAAGCCAGACATGCTAGTTTACACCTTTTCTTTAACCTTCGGAGTACATTTTAGACGCATTTATGTCTTTAGTTTGGCATACACTTTATGGCAGTGAATGCAAGAAGGTGTAACAGTATAAAGTTTGTGTTTGTTATGTTAACGCAAGCTGTGAATAAAAAAGAAACACTAACATAATGACTGGCCATTGTAAAGTGAGCCTCAACTGTGTCGGATAATATATTAATAAAGAATATGCATTTAATAGCATAATTACTGAAGCTAACGGGAAACAGACAATTAGGCTATGCTAATTTGACCTACTAAGCTGTTTACAAACAAGCTAGCTGCACCAATATGTTGACACATTTTTTTTTGTATTGAAGTGGGCAACAAGTAGAAGTCTTTCATTCACATGTGCTCAGTGACTCAGTTCACCTCCACAGCCTGCCTGCTATTATCCAAGTCATATATTTAAATATATTAAACAATTAAAATATACATGTAAGTCTGTAGGCTATTTGCGCTAGCTCAGGTAGCTATCTGATTAGCTGGTGCATGAAAGCATTCGCTTCAGGGACACGAGGGGCCAACTAACACATCTCCCCACTCACAGTTACAGAGAAGTGTTTGAACTTGAAAAAAGTGGACATACCTTAGAAGGCTGGTCCTCTGCGTATCCAGTTACACATACCGTTGCAATCAGGCAATTACCTACACCTGCTGTGGGGTTGACTATCACGTGAGTGCAGTGCCCAATGTATTGCATGTTACCAAATAGCTGTGCTATTCTCGCTACTAGTACATACACTGATTGATTTCAAAATCCTCAACATTTTATCCCACAAATATGTTTCCCAGTAAAGCCCAACTGATTCAGGTCTGCTGAATGATTAATTGTATTGACATGGAGTTGCCCTTGAGAGAGAAACATGATTATGTAAGAGGGCAGTTACAAAAAATCTATATAATTCTTTGCCAGGACTAAATGTATGTTACTGTTGGTTCAAAGGCCAGTATTAGATAAACAAACCATAAGAAGTAAATACCTTAGTGTCAGCTGGCTTTTTATTATAATCTTAATTCTATGATGTTATGCATAACAACATCATATAATTGTGATTTCACCTTGGGCTGAAATTGTTGTGTGCATTTCTCAGTATTTACTGATATTTAATGGACTAAACGTCTCATTGAAATGAGATGAATCGATGTTAAAAAAAACATTAGTAGCAGTCATAAATATTTGGTTTTGCAGTAAAGTTTGAGCTTTGGCATTTGTGCTGCCTCGTAGCAGATGTCACACCAGCTTTCCATCAACACATATTGATTTGTATGTCCATTAATACCTTGGGGATAAGACAACTTTGACATTGACAACAATGTGAACACAACAGTGTGAATTTGTGTGTGGTGGGTAATGGTATTAATGCTGATCAGTGGGTTAATAATATTTTGTAAATCATACTGTTATTGTATTGTCATGGCAATTGGTGAGTGAAAAATGATGGTGCAACACCTCTCCTGAACAGCTGAACAGGAGTCAGCGATTGTTTCAGAGTACAAATGTACTGGTCTTCTGTGAACAGAGGACCATGGGTGGGCTGTGTATTTTTAGCTCAGTTTAATGATGCAGAGGCTAAGTGGTGCGGCGCAGAGCTTGCTAAAGTGCCTCAATTCCCAGAACAAGGACCCCACCGGCCTGTAAGAATAATGCCAGGGGATACACATGCACTTGACCCTGTCTCATCTTCCAGGAGGAGTGTCCTTGTGACAAAGTGGCATGGCAGGGGAGAGACGACAGCAAGGCAGCTAATTCAGCTCTCTCAGCCACTACTCGTTAGATGGAGAAGAAGAATGTGCTGTCCTCCCCTCCCCTCTGCCTCACCATGATCAGCTTTAATTACACCTTCGCCCTAACTTTCTCTGCATCCACAACTTCATTCACTGTCAAACCAAACTCCACATTTGGGTATTTTAAAAACTGAATATATGATTATGTATTATGGAAACAACAGAAATGTATGATTTCCAACATATTTTCTTGCAACATTGGTCTAGTGCTTTGCACTTGAAATAACTAGAATGGTACCTCTTTAGCCCCACGGATCCGCCGAAGGGGCCGAAATCACAACATCTGCAAGCAAAAGTGTCTGAGGGCTTCTTAAGATTTAATAAACTATGAATGTTTCATATCTATGTAACGGGAAGAAACTCAGCTAATTGATCTTTTTTTTTTTTTCTTTTTTTTTTAAACCTCAAAGCTAACGCTGAGCCTCTGAATTAGCCACGGGCAAAAAGATCTTAAGGCCGTTAGCACAGAACTCTAGCTATACCGATCGATATACTTATTGGATCTGCACAAACAAGCTTAGATAACATCCTGAGATTCCACAGATTATAGAAATATAAGGATCATCACTGAGCGATCAGAACTCGTGACAGGGGAAGCAAATACAGACAACACACGACGTAGCTTTAGGTAGCAAAAAACGGAGATATGCTCACCTTAGCTGTTATTCTGATCAAAAGTTGTGTTCAATGGCATTAAAACGAGAAAAAACGCGGCTGAAGGTTAATCCATAGGTTATACCAATGTGTCTGTCACTTTGAACAAATTATTGATAATCCATAATTCAATTTTTATGCAAAAATCGGAG